GTTCTTCTATTTTATTTCAAAAATAAACTATATCAAACGAATGATGGCATGTAAATTAACGGAGCAGTAAAGTTAATGGACGTTTGAGCAATTGGGCTTTAGTGTCAACAGATTTTATTAAGTTGTTAACAACACTAGTATTGCCGCAATTAGGTAATCCTTATTGGAGGTACTCGTAAATAGTTTGGGTATAAAAGTCAGGGTTATCACAGAAATTTAAGCAGACGGCAGAATGGAGTGTAAGATTTGTTTCGGTGTTCTTCTCGTAAGTTGACTTTGTTTCGCTTGCTTTAAGTTCACAAATGTTATATGTGTACTCCCCGTGTTGGACTATCGTGGGGTGTGTGGGAGTGGGATGTATCAGTACGATGGATTGAAAAAGATGGGTAAAAAAACTTTATACTTGGTGAAATTATACACACATCGGACTTCTGAACTTATGAACTTATGTCTCAGGGTGTCGGGCGCAGTGCCAGTGTCCACTGATCTTTGTTATTTATAGGCGTATCGCTTACCACCAGGTACACGACTTGTTTGTCCCGTCAGTTGGTATAATAATAAAATTGATTCCTTTTTGCAGGTCTTGTGCCTTGTGTATTTATGGCAGGGCCAAGTGGACGCTCAGATTAACTGCACAGACACAGGCGCCGGGCGGTTCCCAGATGAAAGTGACACCAGCTGCAAAAACTACACCCTTTGCGTCTTGGACACGGCCACAAATGACTTTTTATCTTACAATTACACGTGTCCTACAACGTCAGTCTTCAATCCTAACACGTCGAAATGTACAACCAATTACAAATGTGACGCCACAAACAGTACTACCTCAGCATGAAAGGGCAGAGATATGACTATTGAAAAGGGTCATACCGTAGACGAGACACCCTAACGTATGTATTGTTTTTATCGATATCGATCATTATATTATTAGAGCTACTGAAATTCCTAACCACACAAGTCTAAGAAAATTTACCAATCTGAGGTCAAATGACGCGGCAAGGTAGCTTCCTTAGACCGCCAAACATCAGTGAACTGTGTTGCGAACTAAGTTGTCTAAATACCACATCAATTCTCGTCTATGGTTGACACCAGTGATTTTTTAAGTACTTGTAATATCGTTGGTTGATACTAATACAGGTGCTGTGTCCACAATTTAAAAATAAAGTTAAATTTTTTATTATAATGTGGAATCACATGAATCACAAACAATTACAAAAAATAGCATAATAATAAAACAAAATGAAAAAGAAAGTAGTAAAACGAAGTTATGAACAATAAACATAGAAAATTTGTTTTGTTTTAAGCAGTACGCACCCCGCTCTACCACCACAACGTTTATCAGTTTTTCACGTATTGTCATAACGCCTCTCTCTTGACTCCCTGTCGTAATTAAGGTGTTGCCTATAAGGTGTTGTCTGTC